TGCGTGACAATTTCTTTTTTTCCCAAAATTTTACACTTTTTAGGTAAAAATATATATATATTTAATTACCAATTGCTTAGCCAGAGGACGAGAGGACTCTAGCCGCCCGTTTCAAAGACCAATGTGGGCTGGGTTATGGCCCATTGAACACGCATATAAAGGATTTATAGTGAAAAACTTTGTTTTTACGGGTTAATTTTGTTTTATTCCCATACCTGTTGGCAGCCTCCAAACTGCTGGAAAAGTTCAACTCGTCGTCTCTCGCGCGTGCGCGAAACGAGTCGGGAGAAATTTGGAACGAGAACTCACGCCCCACTCACTCAGAGAACTCGCGCCCCACTCACTCAACCCGGAGCCATGGACCTGTTCTGATAGCGCCCATCACAGCGGGTGGTGGGGCTGGGTGGCGGTGGTATCGGGGTCTGCGCGAGCGCGAGAACGACGCGTCGACGAGAGGCGTGCTCTGCGTCAGCTGCGTTGTCGAGGGTCTCGTCTGTGCCGCGTGCCTCGTTCGGGGAGGATGGAGGAGGAGGGAAGGGGGCGTGGCACGGCCCGAGTGGTGCCGGGTTTTTGCCGCCGCTCGTCCCAGAGGTTCGCTCTTTGGAGCTCGGCCGGCAGCCCTGGTTAATACTGCGGGCGGATTAACAACAACAACAAAAAACAATCGTCCGCTTCACAGTGGACGTTGGAGAACCCATGACGTTGTAAACACACGGATTGGCTGCGTGTGCCGGTGTCATGGGCTTTATATTGACACGTTTTTTTTCTTTTTAATCAGCTAGTTTTGTAAAGCCTTGCAGCAACATCGCAACTCCTACTGTGAAATAAGTAAACTTGTCAGTGAGACGTAGAGCCTTTCGCGATGAGAGCCTTGCGCTGTATGGATGACACAAAATACCAAACGTGCAAGTGATGATTTTCTTCGATTCATCGCCTGCTGTACGAGCTGGTCGTGAACAGCACCGATGTTTAATGTGCACCTTGCATGTAAAGTGCGTGCACGCGATGCTGCTTTCATGAAGTCTCCAAAATACGTATCGTGTTTATATCCCAACTATTATGAATGACAAATGTATTTTTTTTTATCCATGGCAATGAAGTTTCTACGAAACTGTGCTAAAATAAAAGGTCACGAGCTTAAACAAGTACGGCATTTAACGGATATTCCATATTCTCGGGATTGTTAAGAGAGTATTTTGTAGTTTCAAGCCAACGTTGAGGGGTTGGTCACATAATCTGGTACATCTGTGGGTGATCCGACTTGTCTCACCTTATTGATACTGGGTACAAGTTTTGGGGTGTATCTTACTCTCACGAGCATCTCATATAGTCTGGAGAAAACGAAAAACTACGAGGACATCCACGTGAGGTGTACAGATATATCATGAATTAAAACAATAAGGCAAACTGTATTAATTTATTTACATTGTTTTACACTAAAATTGATTTCACAACACGTTTTTTTTTTCAAATCGAAATATCACAAATCCAGCAATGCAACAGAGCCACACTAGCTCCCGTATATAACTAGCAGTAAAACACAATTCAGCAATCAAGATGCCAATTAATTGAAGTACATTTTATGCAATAATTGTAATAAATAAAGGGACATCACTTGAACAATGGCAAACGAAAAAAAGTGTCACCGATATAAACATTATTTTCACGGGTTTACTTTCTGGTTTAAATTGTAGATACAATGTATGTGTCTGTGTGTCTGTTTAATTAATCAAAAACAATATTACAGCACTAAAACAGCGGTATAAACAACGCGTCCTTCCCATATTTGTCTCCATGAAAAAAATAAGATCATATCAATTTGTTATTGTCTTGCTTGAAGCCTGATTCGACAATGAATGTCAAAACCGGTAATTGGTTTCCCTCTAGTCAACCAATGTCTCTGATAATTACGTACTTGAGCAATGCCTTGCAGTTCTGATGGGTTGCGTCAAACATAATCTTATTTCTAGATTTGAAGCTTTCGTGGCTGCAAGGATTCATACTCTTTGGTTGTTTCGGTAAAGTCACGTAAGTAAAAAATAAAATAAATGAAAACAACTAAATGAAATCACGACGTTTCGGGCGCAACACAAGCGTCCGTCATCAGTAGGCCACGCTTTCCTACCTGATGACGGATGCTTGTGTTGCGCCCGAAACGTCGTGATTTTATTTAGTTGTTTTCATTTATTTTATTTTTTACCTACGTGACTTTACCGAAAAAACCGAAGAGTATAATCTTATTTTTTTCTTAATCCTGGGAACACGAATATTAAAAGAGCGCGAGCATGATTTTGTCACGGGCGTTCTCCATAACAACGCTCAATGACCGTTTTGTTTTATGCATGACAAGAACAGTGTTTTGTAAAGCAAATCCATCGCAAGAAAACAAATTAAGTACCGTGACTGTTTGCTCAATTATACGCGTGTTGTAACAACTCTTTGTTAGTTTAAATGTCGTACCATATATATATAACAATGCCCAATTGCAGTTCAGACATAAACAGTTGCTGTTAATGACTTGGAAAAAAAATAACTCCTTGGACTTTGAAAGCTGCATAACAGCACAACCCTTTAAGTACATAGGTCCGGACACCGTGTCAGGTCTCGCACAGCATCACAAGCTCAAAAAAAAACTCATACCTCTCAATTGTGGTCTCTCCCAGTCAGGCCCATTGCAATTCGCTGCAATCTATAATCCACTATTTGCCTCCGGGCATATAATGGGCAGGCATGATCAGTCATTAGCCTGCCATCGTTGAAGAGGAGATGTTTAAATTACTGGTGATGTTCATTTTTGTCTTGCCATGTGGCCCACTGCATGTCACCTATTTAATTCAACTTCATCTCCAACATGATTACATCCTCATGTACGATTGTTAATTATGTGTAAAGCGCCTTGGATAAGGTGCTGTATACATTTTAAGATAATATAAGATGGTTAATATATGTAATAACCAATGTGTGTTCCTCTGCACGAGATGTACTACGAAGGGTTAAGGAACAAAGCAAAATAGACTATGGATCCTTGACGGAAATGCTTCTAACCATGCCCATTCAAAAAAGTTTGAATGTGTGTCCGTGGTGAACACTTGAAGACTCGGGTTGTGAACATTCACACCCCTGGCAAAGTCATTGCAATGTCACAGTTCAGGGTCATGATTAGATTTTTTTGTGTTACACTACGGCGAGTGTAACAGCCTCGAGTGAGAGTGCAAGTGGCTTCACACTGGAGGCTGTCGCCATCTCTCACCATCATGCGATGCAACAATCCATCGGGCTGCTTGCACGCGAGCCCATTGTATCGCTCCGTCCCTCCCGATTCGTACGCACGCGATTCCAATGCGGCTCGTGCGGGCTTTCAGTCCCGATATCAATCAAGGAATCGGTGCACGTCTGGTGCATAGCCATTGTGGTGAGAAAAAAAAAACACTTGATGGGCTTTTGTTTTATTTATGATTGTACTCAATTCTCCCCTCCGGATGCAAAAATTGTAATATTATTTACCTGGTATATGTTTGGATTCCTGCAAAGAAGCGCATGATGACCTTTACCGATCTGGACCGCATTTGTAAATTATCGTCGACACCACATCTGTGCATCGTGAGATGCGCAAAAAAAAATCTAAACTACTTGAATCAAAGCGGAGGATGTATATATTCACGCACGTAGGAGGTGTTGCCGTTGTCTGAACTTCGAGTGCCGCATACGAAGCGACCCGGTTTACTTGGGAATGCTCTTTGTCTGCTCACGTGTTATGTTTATTTATGCTCGGGGTGTTGGGCCAGCTTGATCTGGGCCCACGGCTGTCTCGCGGCAAAACACATTCAAGCACTTTGTGACCGGTTAAAAAATACTATAGCCGCAATCACCGTAGTGGATTGTTTTTGTCGTGTAAAAATTAAAATCGTGACGATATGTAACACAATTTTTGTAGTAAGTGTTTTTTCCTAATTGCTTAAGCCTCAAAAGTAAATAAAATGGCGATTATTCCCCGCAAACGTTGCTTTTGTGACCAGGACTTTATGTGAAGGAATGACACAAATGCACACCACGTTTTCTCATTGAAAATAAAATAGGTAAATTTCTAAATATCACTGTCCTGGTCACAAAAGCAAAGTTTGCGGGGAATAACAGCCATTTTATTTACTTTTGAGGCTTAGGCAATTGGGAAATAATACTTATTACCCAGGAACAATTTTTTTGTTACACATTGTATAATCAATTCCAGATTGTTTTTGGGAGTGCAGGGGGGGAGGAGGCTGACCCCGTGACCCTATCGAGTCCAAGCATTTTGGTTCAATATTTAACACCAGTGGCAGGTTTTCCGCAAAGTTCACCAGTTCCGTGAACGCCCATAACCACAAGACGAACTGTGCCGGTGAGTTGTCCACTCCACACTTCACTTCAGTGACTCAGCCACACACCGCTATTGGACCAATCCTCCTGCAACCACCAGACGAGCTACGCAAGCTGTCGTTTCGCCTGTACGGGTTACGCAGCACGTACTGTGTCGAACTTCTTTCGCACCGTACGCAGCCAACCGTGCTAATCGGAGGTGTAGAGGGGGGAAGGACAACGAACTAAACACATACACAAGGAGCTCTGCGAGAGTTTGACGGGGCTGGACAATATGCAGTTCAGCACGATCAAGCCATTGCCGGTCACAGCCTTACCTCGCATGCACTCAAAGAACACCTGAGCCCTGGGGGTGAGTGTGGGGGGGGGCAGAATGCGTGATGGCCAACGCCAGATCGCATCGTTACTCATTGCGTTTGGCATTAACAGACTGGTTTGAATTCACATTTTTTGGGGTCTTTCGGTAAAGTCACGTAGATAGGTTGAACGAAAATAACAAAAATAACGACGACGTTTCGATCACAACACAAGCGATCGTTTTTTTTTACTCCTGATGACGATCGCTTGTGTTGTGATCGAAACGTCGTCGTTTTTTGTTATTTTCGATCAACCTATCTACGTGACTTTACCGAAAGACCCCAAAAATGTGAATTCAAACCAGTCTGTTGATGTTAACACGTGGTTGATCAACACAGAGTTGATCACACAGGCTTGATCAACACAGGGTTATTTACATCGGGTTGATCAACGCATGGGCTGATCAACACGTGATTGATCGCACATGGTTTATCGACACAGTATCGATCACACTAGGTTGATCAACACAAATTTGATCACACAGAGTTGATCACGCAGGGTTGATCAACACAGCGTTGATTAACATCGGCTTGATGAACACCGGGTTGATCAACACATGATTGATCTCACATGGTTTATCGACACAGTATCGATCACACTGTGTTGATCACACAGGGTTGATAAAATCTGTGTTGATCCACACAGGGTTGATTAACATCGGGTTGATCAACGCATGGGCTGGTCAACGCATGATTGATCGCACATGGTTTATCGACACAGTATTAATCAACACAGGGTTGATCACACGGGGTTGATCGAGTGATAAGTACTCGGGGTAGATGCTGGAGGTGATACTGAGATGCAAAGCTTAGCCTTTGGAGTAGGTCTAGAATTTCACCCGCTCGAATGGATGTTGTCATTCGCGAGGATGAAAGTAAATGCTTCCCCCTGTTTCAATGTAATGTGTGTGTGTGTGTAGCCAATCTTCCACTGCGGCATTTCAACCTTTGCCAAAACCTTCTGTTTTCTTGTAATAAACGGAGTGCCGCTCAAGAAACGTGTATTTCCATTTCCATACTACAAGCTGCCGAGAAGAAAAGAATGACGCGATATAATCCACGAAATATCGTGTATTCCCCGTTCATATTCTCCGTTCATACTCTACCGGGCAGCAGCAGCAGCACGTCCCACTGGGCCAAGACCCCGGGCCGACCCCGGGACACGCTGCTGCTGCTGCTGCTGGCGGGACGATGTCGCTCGGCAGGCCTGGGAATTACCCAGGAAGAGCTAGAGTCTGTCTATAGCAGTGTATAGTGTAGTGTATAGTGTAGTGTATAGTGTAGTAGTGTATAGTGTAGTAGTGTATAGTGTAGTGTATAGTGTAGTAGTGTATAGTGCAGTAGTGTATAGTGTAGTGTATAGTAGTGTATAGTGTAGTGTATAGTGTAGTAGTGTATAGTGCAGTTTTTGTATAATGTAGTAGTGTATAGTGTAGTGTATAGTGTAGTGTATAGTGTAGTGTATAGTGTAGTGTATAGTGTAGTGTATAGTGTAGTAGTGTATAGTGCAGTAGTGTATAGTAGTGTATTGTGTAGTATATAGTGTAGTAGTGTATCGTGTAGTAGTGTATAGTAGTGTATAGTGTAGTGTATAGTGTAGTAGTGTATAGTAGTGTAGTGTATTGTTATGTATAGTGTAGTAGTGTATAGTATAGTAGTGTATAGTAGTGTAGTGTATAGTGGTGTATAATGTAGTAGTGTATAGTGTATAGTAGTGTATAGTGTATAGTAATGTATCATGTAGTAGTGTATAGTGTAGTATATAGTATAGTAGTAGTGTATACTGTATAGTAGTAGTTTATAGTAGTGAATAGTGTATAGTAGTGTATAGTGTAGTAGTGTATAGTAGTGTATAGTGTAGTAGTGTATAGTGTAGTGTATAGTGTAGTAGTGTATAGTGTAGTGTATAGTAGTTTATAGTGTAGTAGTATATAGTGTAGTGTATAGTAGTGTATAGTGTAGTAGTGTATAGTGTAATAGTGTATAGTAGTGTATAGTAGTGTATAGTAGTGTATAGTGTAGTAGTGTATAGTAGTGTATAGTGTAGTAGTGTATAGTGTAGTAGTATATAGTGTAGTAGTGTATAGTGTAGTAGTGTATAGTGTAGTAGTGTATAGTAGTGTATAGTGTAGTAGTATATAGTGTAGTAGTGTATAGTGTAGTGTATAGTAGTGCTGAAGTCTGTCGCCAGGGAGAGGGGGGTCTGGACGTTCACCAGGACCAAGCGGACTGAAAAACGAACGTACGAGCGAACTTTCGTGTTTTTGAAAGTGAACTGTCAATCATTCCAACATTCATTGCTCATCTTTAAAAAGAACAAATAATATATTTTCCAACTATACATACTTGTGCAAATAAAATCAATATCTAGGTGTATGCAATTACTGCGAATTCCGAATGTGAATCGTTGCGACTTAGTACGACATCAATTCAGAAAGGAATAAAAATGTGTCTGCTACTTGGAAGTTGCCACGAACATGAAACACTCGACCATTGTCCAGTGACCACAATGAAGAGGCGTGAACGTAGCTGATTCTTTTTGGGTATAAAACATGTAAAACAAAGCTACTGCAGTAAAAGTACAGTAGTTTCTGCGATTTGATTTTTTATTACATCTTGTTTTCGTATATAGGCTGAATGAATAAACAAGCATTTTTTGTTAAAGGACAGCTGCAAATTCCAGGTATATCGTAATAATTAAAATAAGCCATGATTAGTCCAGTGCAATTTCAGGTTCCTAAAGCTCTACATAAGCTTAGAATCATTTTTTTTTTCCGCTGGGAGGAAATCCATCGATGCGATCTTCATTTTGCAGATTCACGGTAGAGAACCCTGTGTCGTGAGGACGATAGCCAGGATGATGAACAAGACGTGCGCCGGCAATGACGGGCCTCTCTTCGATGTGCTGGAGTTGCCCGCGTTTGCGTCTGCCAGACAGAAAAAAAAAGACATCGAAATTAAAAACAGCTTGAGAGAGGAAAAAAACACGCACACACGCACGCGCGCGCAAAGACGTACACAGCATTCGACTCCACGTGGTTGGAGTTACCGTTTTGTGTCATCCCATACTGAATTCAGCCAGATCACAACAACGTTCATGCACTCACACAACGACAACAACAACAAAACCGCCATTCGCCACTAAGTGGCGGTGGCAGTGACGTCAACACGGCGCTTGTGCCAGGCTATGTGCACTTTAAGGTCACGTGAAGTGTCGAACGGCCGCTGGCTGGCAGGAGGTCACGGGGCAGACCCAGCAGGTGCCATGGGTTGACTGATTGGGATGACGGGTTGACTCACTCGATCACACACTTACCCACTCACACATCACCCACTTACCCACTCACTCACTCACCCACTTAACTCATCACACTGCAGGTCAAAACACCCAGTTTCTACTTCCCTGCGCGTAATCGCTCATAAAGTAAAAGCAGGCAGTTTGATTTATCCAGCGCTCACTTGCTCACTCATGGCGGGCAGTCATCCCCATATCATTCTTCTATTGCTGCTACTCATCCATTTATTCCTTCGCCTGTGTTGAGGACTCGGCCTAACAGATTGACCGGTTCATCTCAACCGTATGACATTCAGCCACCAAACCGCAGATCACAAGAACACTCACCCACTCACACATCACCCACTCATTCACTCACACTCACCCACCCACTCATCACACTGCAGATCAAAAAACACTTATCCTAGCTCCTTCACTTGCACTGCTCTGCTTTAGGAATTCCCTCCCATCGTCTCTTTCCCCAAGTTCCCATGACTTTGCTCAATTAAACGGACGCGTCAACACGTGAACTCTCATCCATTACAACGTTAAGAGTGCTATTGTTTCTGGCCACTTGGCATGAAAGCCTCCCCATGGAATCTTCAATCATGGGAGTTGCTTGCCCACGCATTTCATCACACCGGTCGGTGACTGTTTGTTGGGTAATTGTGCATACCTCCAAGATAATGTGTTAAGTAAACACGAGCAATACAACTATGGCGATTGCAGAAACATAAGGCTACAGAAGCGGAGGTCTATCCATTTCAACACAATGGTTGTTGATGGGACCTGTCATTCCATTTACTTAATTTACCCCAACACCTGCTGATCACTTGAAGGCACTCTAGGACGAGTGGCTGTTCACCTCGTCACGAGCAATCTACAAGTGACGCAATCTCTACGGGCGCATGCGAAAAGTTTACCGGCTCTTGTGCTCAAGTTTTCAGAGCCCAACACGTTTTAACGTAGCCTCACAAGAACGCCTGAGCATGCACGTGCCACTGGACACGTGACACCGGACACGTGACCAATTGTCGAGAGTCGCACTGGCTGTGGGGTCACCACGGCGTGGCAGTTGAAACAACGGCGCAAGTTTCTTGAATCGTCACCAATAACCCACCCACCCACCCACCACCACCACCTCTGTCCACCCAGCAGCATAAATGGATAGAGCGCACTGAGTCGATCGACACGTGCGCGTATGGTGAAGTAAAGTCTGGGCAGCACCGCCTCGTATTCATTTATTTATTCTACATTTATAGAGAGCGCCTAGGCACCGCGGCGCTTTGCATACTTTAAAATCGGCAACTACAAAAAATGAAGGCCCGACGAATGAGTGACCCGTCACACGGATGGGTCATAGGGGAGGGACGGGAAGGAGTTGGAGGGGCGAAGGGAAGGGGATGGGCAATGCAAAAGAGGTGAGGCTTTGAGAGAGTCACGAAAGGAGGATTGAGGATGGGGACTGCTTAATGTACACCTCTTCTGAGATGTCTCGCTGGAATGGAAGAGTAGGCCAAATACACTTGAGAGCTCGCACTAACGGTGGCCCTTCCACCAGCGGTGGTGTGAGCGAGCTGATCCAGGGCTGCCAATGTATCCGTATTTTCAGTAATTACTAAAAAGCGTCTCGCCTTCGCGTTGGCCCTGACACACTCTTATAGCACCAAACGCACGCACCCACCCAACATCAGAACAACTGACTCATGTTTCCATCGACTCAATAAAAGTTCGTTCATCCGGCATCAGCGATTACATCTTTAAAATCAATTACATTTTAGTGGTCAATTGAGAAAGTGCTACTCTGCATTGTTATGAAGTTGGTAAAATATAGCCTGAGATACATTTGAACAGTGTTCTAATTAAAATTATGAAAACAATTTTTATTTTATTTTATGACGCTGGATTTATGATCCTAGGTTTTACACGCATCATAACCTGTTTACTAGCATATGTTATCTTCTGCACCGTTTCACTGTTATAGATTTAGTGGGTTGGAAAGCAAATTTAAAATGTAAATGGGCCAGAAACTACAAAGTCCTGCGACCCATAATATGCCCCCCCCCCCCCGAGTTGTACCCTGTGTGAGACACACCACCTCTCAGATGTGGTGTTAAGAACGCACCATGACATACAGAGCTAAAGGGCAGTAAACTAACAACACAGTATCAGTAATAAACAAGATAAGTACACCAATCAAAGAAATCAACAGCTCGAAATAATGATGATATAAAGAAAATACTCTCCTCTGATTTCTTGGTGGAATTAAATATTCGCGTGTATATGATTATGTATAGAGGTAAAGAGCTAAAGGTGCAGCACTGAAATTACGTTCTCAAGCCACTGACGGTGGAAGGGACTCGACTAGTAGGAGCTGTGTAGAAAGGCCCTTCAGACGGTACTTTTGCTCTACACTTCAACGTTGGTGCACTACCCTTTACACCATGGCAATCCCTCCTTTGCTTACTTGCATATTTGTATTCAATAATAATAATGACATTTAAAACGCGCCAGATTTCCCAGACAAGTCAACAACTCAGAGGCGCAGAGCCAAGCTCAGGGCTGCTCGAAAGCCCTGACCCAACACAGATATACGAGGCCTTTAGATGTTTCTTACAAGTCAGGGTGCATTTGATGTTGCGAATGTGCAAAGGGACAGAGTCTCGCACTGAGAGGGCGACAGCGGAGAGCCGAAGTGAGGCTGTAACAGTGTAGATTTGAAGTTTTCGTGACTGCAAGGATCCATACTCTTTGGTTTTTTCGGTTAAGTCACGTAGGTAAAAAATACAAAATAAATTAAAATGAAAACAAATAAAATTAAATCACGACGTTTCGGAAGCAACACAAGCAATCGTCATCAGGTGTTGACTGCTCCAGCAAAAATTACCTACGTAACTTAACCGAAAAAACCAAAGAGTATGTAACAGTATAGTTTAGTGGATAGTAGTGTAGTGAATAGTCGTGTATAGTAGTGGATAGTAGTGCATATAGTAGTTTAGTGTGTAGTAGTGTAATGTATATTAATATACTGTATTGTGCAGTGTATAGTAGTGTAGTTTATCAGTGTATATTAGTGTGGTGTATCGTAGTGTATTGTGTATAGTGTAGTGTACAGTAGTGTATAGTGTTGTGTATAGTAGTGTGCCTGAGGACGGCTGCTGGTGTTGTGGCCGAAACATCGTGAGAATTGTTTATTTTATTGTTTTATTTTTATTATTTTATTATTTCCCTTCTACGTGACTTTACCGAAAAAACCAAGAAGATGAATCCCTGCAGTCACGAAAGCTTTAAATCGAAATATAGTGTATAGTAGTGTATTGCATAGTGTTGTGTATAGTGTAGTGTATAGTAGCGTAGTGTATAGTGATATGAGGCTGTAACAGTTCGACACCTCGATGTTCGAAGCTAATTTTGATTGACGCATGTACGTATGCATAGATTCACTAATTAGAATCAATTCTTAAGCACACGACACACGCATACATCACTTATTAACGATTTATGTAAATTACATGCAAGCAATATCTTACGATAACATCCAGGGTAACAGAGGAAAAACAAAATATGAATAAAAAAATAAAAATCCAGACGGTAAAATCAAGTGAGAAAGAAGAATCGATGCTTGAATTGAATGCTGTTAGCAAATTGTGACAAACCATGCATGCGCGCGTGTGTGGGTGCGTGGGTGTGATTAATCGCGTACGTATTTGTAGCGGTCGCATGCAGGCTGAACACGCACCGCATATTATTTATTTGCAAGGCAAGGGACACGGCAAATCACGGGGCCTCCGAGCTGTGCAAGAAACGCGATACATTCGGCCGTGTTCTTATTAATTGAGGTGCCACGTGGACGAACATTGCCGTAGGGAGGTGGAGAGAGAGAGAGAGCGGGGGGGGGGGGGGGGGGGTCAGTGAGGAATGATGTGCTCCGAACAATGTGCGGATGCTGGAAACCACCCCCAGCGTGTCCGGGTTAACGAGCAGTGCATTCTGCTCACCGGGGTTAGTCCGGATACGGAGCTGGGGACTGGCGGGGCCCTCTCCATCCTCGCTGTGTGCCCTCACTTGGATGACGTACGTTTCGCTGTCAGGGAAGGTCAGCTCCACATATGTCTGGTTTGTCACGATCTCCTTCAGCGTGGTCCCTTCGAGCGAGTGATACGTGATCTGCACACACGAGCGGCCAAACACTCACTCGCGCCTTGCTGGAATTTGTGCGCTCCGCGTTATGAACTGTCGAGAGATCAACGCAGCAACTCAACGGCAATGTTTCCCCATCTATGCATTCGATCTCAATGTATAATGCACGCAGATGTTACCGTACTGAAATGAGCAATGTGTGGTGGTCGTGTGCGCTGGTATTCTACCTGCCATAGAAATTGGGAATTTGCACCACGAGCTCAGATAAGTGGTGAAACCACTTTGGTTATAATATGTGGAACATATCACGATTCATTTCACACTCGTACAATGTTTGGTCGAACACGTGCTATCATTAACAAAGTTGCATATTCTTTGTATGCATATATTAAAATCTGCTTACTAGCTTCTGATTAATGGTATATACAAGCACGTGTACAGAAATAGCACTCTGCGATTGTGCCTATATATTTTGTCCACACTCTAGGATTAACCCTTATCCATGCCTTTCAATGCTGCCTTGAATGTAAGATATTAACGCATTTACATATGAATAGCAATCTGCTGTGTGTGTGAATAGAAGAGATTACCAGAGCTGAAAATATGCACCATTTTAAGTCTCAAGCAGTGCTATTTGCTATTTCATATTATCTGTATATTAATCAGCAGCAAGGCTTTATAACACCAATATTGGGTTATATATCATGATAATCAGTGTGTGCTGTAGGCAAAGAGGCAATGTGGCTTTTGTGAATGCAGAAATGAAACAAAGCATCGTGTATATTATTATTCACGATCAATTGAGGGTTACTGTTGAAATTGCGGTTCAAATCAATTGTAATATCAAAAGGCAATGGCACTTGCATCCCAGTTAACAGGTCACGAGATGCATCGTGTAGCCCAACGGCACTAAACCGACGTGAGAAATTGGCCGCAATAGCAGGGTTAGAGCAGGAGGGCCAGTTAGAGCAGCAATTGTAGCCTGTCCCTCTGTAAATATTGCTCTAGCAAGCAGATGCACTGTATGGAATCAGCTTTTCCCGTTCGCTGATCGTGCAATGATGTCACCTCACTTTGATAGTATCGATGGGCCCCTCTTACGCTATCGATATGCATCTGCGGAGGATACTGCTGCAAATATGCAGCCTCAGGGAGAATTTGAGAGAGAAAGAATATAAATATATAACGTCTAAAATAAATATATATTTGATTGCGAGCGAGCGAGCACATGTGCTGCTTTTGTGCGAACGCATGCATTAAGAAATTTGCCCGTAATGAGTAAAGATTTGTTGCAATGGCAGCGAGTCTCATAATGACGGAGCTGCTTTGTCAGACGCGTCCTATCACTCATCCCACTGTCTGCCCCCATCCCGTTGTATTTTGCAATCGTCGTGCTCGCACATTACCCTGTATCCCGTAACCGCAGACTCATCTTCTCTCGCGACGACGTTCTCCCAGTCGAGGGTCACTCTTCCACCGTCGCGACGCAACTGAAGTCCAGATGGCGGTCGGCTGGGTGCTGTGGCGTCGGGTCAAGTAAGGACAAAACATTGCATTTGTTGGGCGCTGAAATGCCCCAGCATCTCAAAGTGTCTGCGGTGTATTTGTTTTAGCCTAGGGACGTCCCCTCCCAAACCGCCAATGACACCTGTCCCTGTGCGGCGCGAGGTGACACAGCAGTGGCTTGCAAATGGGCATTTGTCCGTCAGTAGTGGGAGGTTTTAGCCATTGGTTATTCCAGTGAAGAAATATTTTTTAAGGCATATTTTCGATTTCAAGCTTTCGTGACTGCAGGGATTCATCTTCTTGGTTCTTTCGGTAAAGTCGCGTAGAATGGAAATAATAAAATAATAAAAATAAAACACAATAAAATAACCGGTCTGTTCTTCACCTGAGGACGGCTGCTTGCGTTGTGGCCGAAACGTCGTGAGAATTATTTTTTTGTGTTTTATTTTTATTATTTTATTATTTCCATTCTACGTGACTTAACCGAAAGAACCAAGAAAAAGGCATATTTTGTTTACAATTTTTTGGCGAATTTTGGATCGTGATGCCGGTGCGCAGGGATCACCCGTTTTTGTTTTTCATCGTACACTGTGATGCAGATGGGGCACGAGTTCACGGTCCACGCGCCCCGCGGTATAAACTGGCGCGGCTGGAGGGGCTTCAACCGCAAACCGTCCTCAGCAAACAAGCAGTGGATGCGCTCACTCCCATCCGGGCCATGTCGCGAGTAAAAACAATGAAACGAAAACCACAAAAAACAATCGGTCCACTGACGTGGGCGCGCATGCTTGATTGATTGAAAAGATTACGGACAGCCTTGAAAATTATTGCTTTCCATCTGATATTGATTGCGTTCGTGCGCAAATGTTTATGGGGAGACTGATGACGGAGACCACAGGCACGCTCCCATCATGCACAGCTACAATTGGTCGCTCGATCCATCGGAAGACTGCGCCAATGCACTGGTTCATGTGAACATGTCCCAAGGCTCTATTATTTTAAATGCATTGGAATGTCCGTTTCTTAATAAAAGATGCCATGCTTTTTTATGTATGCATACACACGTATATTTTGCTGGAAAGGGTAAAATCTTTTTTTTTATATTTTTCATACTTTGATACTGGACAAAAGGTGCCATGATGTAGCTGCTCACCCCGAGCTATAAATGCTCTGATATGTGCATTGTCTTTGTGCTGTTCGCTTTTTGGTGTTCTCTGGTCGGACACTGGTGAGACTAGGTCATAAAGAAGGCTGTCTCTGGTGTAGGCCAATCATTTTCAAAGACAACGCATCATATATTATCAGAGCATGTTTCATTGCATGTTCACCACAAGTACGTGTGGTTAATGCGAACTTGATTCCTTGCAAAATGTTTTTGTTTGGTGTTTTAACATCTTTACAACCTGGTTTATTGCCAGAAAGGGTAAAACCTATTCTTATTTTGAGAACGCATATGACCGTGTTCCCCACGATGTCTTGTGGGAAGTGCTGTGGGAGTACGATGTACCGGTGCCGCTTAAGTGCGCTATCTGGTCAACTCTATTACTAGAGAGAGAGCTGTGTCCGTATTCTTGGTGTTAGATAAAGTCGGTCACTGTGTCGGACTCCGCCAAGGGTGCGCTTTGTGTCCACTCCTGTTTGTGATTTCCATAGACACAAGATATCAAGGCGCAGCCGAGGTATGGATAGTATCCAGTACGGGGACATGGAGGTGACGTGGCTGTTCTTTGCAGATGACGTCGTCCCCTTTGCCTCGTCAGTCTGTGATCTCCAGCGTTTGATTCCGAGCGTGAAGCGGCTGGAATGAGGACCAGCACCTCCAAATCTGAGGTCGTGGTTCACTCCCGGCAGACGGTGGAGTGTGCTCTCCAGGTGAGGGAGGAACAGCTGCCCTGAGTGGAGGAGTTCAAATACCTCGAGGTGTCTTTCGCGAGTGATGGTGGTGGGAGCGGGAGATCGGCCTGCGGATCGGTGCGGTGTCCACAGCGTTGCGGGAACTGTACCGTTCCGTGGTAGGAAAACAGGAGCTGAGTTCTCGAACAAAGCTCCGTCGATCTATGTTCCCACCCTCACCTATGGTAATGAGCTCTGGGTAATGTTCGACAGGATGAGATCGAGGGTGCAAGGGGCGGAAATGAGGTTTCTCCGCAGGGTTGCCGCGATCACTCTCCATGATCGGGTGAGGAGCGCGTTAATCCAGAAGGGCCGCAGAGTCGAGGTGCTGCTCCTCTGGGTCGAGAGGAGCCAGTTGAGGTGGTTCAGGCACCTGGTAAGGATGACCCCCAGTAGCCTCCCCCTGGAACTCTACAAGGGCAGCAGCACGTCCTACTGGGCGTAAGATCCCGGGGCTGGCCCAGGACACGCTGCTGGTGGGACGATGTTGCTCAGCTGGCCTGAGAACGCCTGGGTATTCCCCAGGAAGAGCTAGAGTCTGTATAGCTCTTGATTAAAGCTTTCGTGACTGCAGGAATTCATATTCGTTGGGTCTTTCGGTAAAGTCACGTAAATATGTTCAAATAAAATAACGAAAAGCAAAAACTACGATGTTTCGATCGCAACACAAGCGGTCGTCTTCAGGAAAAGCGGGGTTGGCTTCCAAAGGCAAACTGTTTATGAGGGTTTGAAATGGGCGTAGCCCAAATGTCAGCAGCCAATGTTAATGCAAGTGGTGGGCAGCCAACCCAACGGTGGTTGGTTTTGATTGGTGGAAAACCAAACACCGAAAAAGCGGCTGTGAGAAACTAATGAACCATGTCCATATGGTACAATTAATAATGTGTGCACGTGAGTGTAATTTACGAAAATGTTTTTTTTAGATATATTTGCCCCAGGTGGTACAGCAGTAAAATATGTGGCTTGCAATCGAAAAGATGCGAATTCAAATTACCATAAAATGACTACTGCCTTTTATTCAAAGTCAACCCCACCATAGAAATATGAAATTTTATTCACTGGCTCAGAGCTGTTTATGAGTGGGTTCCCTTACAGCCATTTATTGGAAACACACTTTCATTTAAATGTATTCATCCACAAGCGAGCATCTGAAGTCAGGAAACTGGACCAACTTTGTCATTTTAAAATAAGTTTTAAAGTTGCTCTACTCCGCATTTGTGCCGTATCACTCTCTGATGAGCGTCCGTGCTGGACTGCGCATTGCGGGGCACGTTCAACATTTCCCTCCACATGCCACGTGCTTCTTCAGCAACCGAATTGAAAAAGCTTGCAACACGCGGAGCTTCGCACCAAACGGCATCCCGCTTCGCTCCGCGTGCCTGTGAGATGATTCAACAATTCAGTTGCTAGAGAGGCTCCCAGCGCGTGCCGGCGAAATGAAACGTCAGACGTCATGTGGTACAAAGCCCGTGGCGCAGTTAACTGCGGTGGCTCGCTTGCGACGAATGGAAAAATCGAACCCTCCGTTCGGCAAAAATACAAAAAAAACGGAGAGTGTCGTGCCATGAAATTCCTACGTGATTTCTTGGTGGTGACCGTCGTTACTTCACTCGGGGGTCCGACACCTGCGCTGTTGTAGGCGTGCGCCGCGACCTCGTATTGCGTGTTGCACTTGAGCCCCGAGATCCGAGCGGCCGTGTCCGAGCCAGCCACCCTGATCCTCTCCGCCGTGTCCTCCCTCTCGCCACTTTTCCAGAACACAATCTGAAGGGGGCAAAAAAACAACGGGATTGTCAGAAATGGGGAAGAAATAAGGCGACCGTGCAGAGACACCTTTCCAAAAGCAAGGACACAGCAAAGTCATCCTGCGTGATGGGTTTTCATATGCGGGGCTACAATGCCGTTCGCAAGTAGCCAGTACTTTGTGTTCTTTCTCAAGGTGCCAGAGTGAGCCAGCTATTTCAGTTTGCCAGTGTGTGTGTGTGTATGTGCGCATGCAATTTTGTAGAATGCAATTCGCCTGCGAATGTAGACAACGCTGTCGTGTGTGTGGCCTTGTTTAATGACACGTGCAATGTTCAACAAACTTCAAGGACAGTGCATACATTATCGGAGCTATGTTTTTTGTTTGCATTATGACTGCAGGTATTGTGGTCTATGCAAACATGACTTCTTGTTAAAAAGGTGTCAGTTTTTTTGCCACATAGAAGGGTAAAAAAACAATTATCATATTTTTTAACTGGCAAATGAGGTTCCAATGGTGTAGTATGGCAAGTATTCAGCAGAGCAGGGGGCCACCGGCCCTACCCTGCAACACTCCGTGACTAAATCTAGGTAACCGGCAGATATATAAAAATAATAATATATCCTTTTTGTTTTGGGAATACGGACTGATGCATTGGAATAAATTCTAACTGGAACAAGAAAACAAAGTTAATTCGGGAGTGACAAAAAGTACATTGAATATCAAAAGTAACAAGACTTATGCCTGCTGTGTAATTTCCCCATAGAGCCACTCGTAAAATTTCAACTATTTTACAAGTAATAAACAACAAAAATATATACTTAAGAATGCATCTAAAGTAAGGTCTGTGAGACTTTCAATATCTCCCCATTTTAATCAGCCACCTGTCAAGGATTGTAGTGTTTTTTTCGGATTTACTTCAATTTGATGTAGGAACGTGTTTTGCTATTGCTTTGATCATCTTAAGGTAAAGCTCTGTATTTGTCACGAAGAACAATATTTTCAGAAAATAGTCTATCGACTGAAATGCTCCTTCACGTAGTGAGGATAACACTGCAGACAATAATATGATATGGCTCCAGGGCAGTCCAGGTGGCTTGCGAGTTTAAAGCCTGTTTGAACACTACTTTGTGCGGAAGTCAACTGTGATGGTTGGATCAACCCTCCTCCGTCATAGGAATATGGAATTCCCACCACTGGCTCAGGGCTGTAAACAAGATATAAACAATGCCTCGATGCTCATATGAACAGGAAATCACTTTAACCACTTGGAAATTTCCCGAATGACTTTACCTCCTAATGCATTCATACAGCTTGCATTTATACATATAATTCTTATTCCACAAATATTCTCTTCCAAGACGTCTTGCCAGTGTGGAAGAGTAGGCCAAATACGCTCTTGAGGAGTCATTGAGAGCTACCTCCAGTGAGCAAAACATTGCAGGGCTGCACCTCAACTACTTTTTTGTTTGTTTATTAAGAAATGTGATTCAACGAATAAAAAGTGGATGGTTAATGTGGTATTTATTCTCTACGTCAGCAGTATGAGCCAGTACGACTGATATCCCGGCTTTGAATCTGGGGCAGTGAAAGTGATTAAACGCGGATTTCAATTGCAGAAAGGTGTTGCTCATTCACCAATTGCTCAGCAAAACGCAAAGCGATTACAGGCTTGCACCTTGACCTTCACCGCGAACAGGAGATACAAATGCATTTATCAACGCCATCAAAATCTGCTTTCGCATCAAACTCACTTCATATCCTTGCACACGTTCCAAGCTTGCATTGAGTGGAACTGGTCTCCACATCACCTCTACTTCCTTGGATGACAGGCTCCTTGCAGTCACGCTTGATGGAGGCACGTTAGGTTCTGGAGGCGACGCATTGCAAGGTGCAATTTTTCAACGTGGCAGTTTCATGACTAATTCACGTGGCACACACGCTAAGTGTTTAGGTGGCAGTACAGGCACACACACACACGTGCATACATGAAAAGAGACATTTCTTATTTAAATAATCACACTTTGCCTTAAAAATATATAAATGAATGTATTAACATAGACATATAAGAATAACTCACGTTCATTGACAAGGAGGATAGAAGAGCATCTCTTAAAATATAACTGATCTACCACTGAAATGGCACACTTACCCATTTGGCCATGTATAATTTTAACTTTTATCCTTTACGTATAATTTTATGGACAATTAAAATTAATACGACCGCATATCTTCCCCATCAATGCAAATCTCTTTTCACGCAATTGATTCCCACCAAAATTTACTTCAAATGCTTTAGGGCACATTTTTTGCCAAAGATGGGTAGCTATTAAATGACCACGGACCGCACGACTGGTCCTTAGATACAGGTCTCGCCTTGGCGTCTGGTGCCTGCCCAGAAGCAATATCCCATCCATAGCTCCGTGTGGTTGGCACGTGCCCTCCCAAAGCATCACAATGAGCACCGTTCTTTGAATCCAAACCACTTTTCGATATTTAAAACTCCAATACCATCGTGAAAGTAGCCAAATCCACGCCAAGGTCTCTGTAAATGTCACAAATGTGCTCCAGCAATGCTGAACGCACACAAGGCCAGCGGCAATGGCAAGCCATCCTGGCGTACACACACCTGCTTTGAGTCGGAATAGCTTTCACAATTTAACAAAGTAATAACGGCGACAAAGTTGCCTCGCTTTTTTTGCAAAGCTGGCTCAGGCAGAGCGTAGAACAGCACGCTTGCTCGAGACCATACATGCGGTTATAAAAGACCTTGGCACAAATTGGGCTATTTTCTCGACGCTCTTGGAGTATGAAATGTCAATCAGCGGTTTGGATTCAGTACACGGCGCTCTTTGTGATGCTTTGGGGCAAAGTGTCGACCACAAAAGCCCTTGGGATGGGATTTTGTTTCATTTCAGACATCAACTCCTCGGCGACCTTTATATCTGAAGAGGTGTCATATACCCTGTGTTCATTCTTCAGCTTCTTAACTACCCTTGGAAAAGTCTGCTTGAAAGCGTTAAAAGTAAAACATTTTTGTTTGTGTGAAAGAGATCAATTTTGTGAAAAGAGAGTTGCATTGATGGGGCGTATATTCAAACGTGTAGATTTTAATTGATGATACAATTATTCGTAGAAGTTTAATGTTAAACTGTATATCGTGAACAGGCTAAGCCTTTCGCTTTTGTGCCAGGCCAGTCTTATATGAAGGTAATAAATAAGCAGACCTGCATGCTATCTCTGACATATAAATACAAATCCATTCAGTCCATCAGCCTATTGATTTGTCCAAACCAATATTATCAAGCAGCATTTGTCAAAGCATGTTCTGCACCGGTTTCTAAATCCTGGGTCTCATTAGCAGTGAGGCTCGTTCAACCAACGCTGCTGGATTACTGGATGAAATTGACAAGTGCACTTCATATAAACTCTGATGCCCCGTTGAATGTGAAACTAAGGCCCGTATTATTACTTCCCGTGACTTTACCGAAAGAACCAAGAAGATGAAACCCTGCAGTCACGAAATCTTTAAATCGAAATTTAAGGCCCGTACACAAGCTCATTTCATGATGCCGTGGAGAATTATGGGTAAACGCGAATACGGTTAAGAGCTCCATTCTGTGTCTCCACATATAAATAAAATACTTGTACTCCATCAGCCTATATTAAGATAGCTTCCCTCACTCCTTAATTCGGAGGGATCACAGGCCAGGAAGAATATCCTCATGCACTTTTCTCGATACAAACAAATACCGTTTGTCTGGCTGACTCGCTGACTGACGGAAACAAAACAATACGTTTGGCTGTATTTCCAGGCTCTTTCGGGAACCGCATCGTGCAATTTCCCAATCCCTCAATCACCCCTTGTCCAGAATGCATGGAGTCAAACCTCTAACCCAATCCACGTCCTGTCAGGCAGCGTGTGTCCACCCCGTCAGGACTCAGTAAGCGCGGCAGCGCAGCGCACCTCCCACCGTTGCAATAACAACAATGGCATCAAGATATTTCCCACATTATGACTGTAATTCTCTGCATTCATGTTGCGTGCAGCCCTATGTGCAGCGGGCAGTGCACCACACTGTGAACCCGGTGACCGAGTGTGATTTGTGGACATGGCTGACATCAGTGGCGAGTGACATCTAAACCGGTCCTGGGCATCGCGTTCACCAACCTGTATAAACCAGCGTGGTGAAGTATGGTCAGACAACTCCTATGTCTGACACAGCATTGGGGGAGACCTTCATTCCCCAGTGGATTGACAAGGGGCTGTATATATTGTCATTACTATTATATTATTATTATAAATGTATGTTGTATCTAAACGTATGTCGCATCTAACGGTTTCACATCACACCGGTCTGCACGTCTGCAGTTTGTTGTCCTTCCCCTGCACCTCCGATTGAGTACGGTCGGCAACGTACGGCGCGCAAGAAGTTCAACGTACGTGCGCACATGGTGGATGTTCAGGACACGCTTCGGTACAAATCGTAGGCGCTTGTTACCGTTTTCCGCCGAGTGCACGATGGTGATGTCGCTGAAGGCGCTCTCTCCGTTCATGTTGTACGCCCTGATCTGGACCTGGAAGGCCGTGTACGGCTTGGTGCTCTCATTGCGGTATATGTATCTGGAGGACTCGGCCAGCGGAATGGTGACTTTCCTCCAAGGCATCGTCCCGTTCTCCCTGAAGGCCACGATGTAGCCGAAGTCGGGCCCGTAGCGATGCGTTCTCTCCACGGGCTGCAAATGCAAACAGCAGCAAAGGTTTGAACGGATTAGTCGGCAATCTAGATCTGAAGTTTTCGTGACCGCAATGAGCCATACTCTTTGGTTCTTTCGGCAAAAGAGCAGCTCTTTTGCCAACTACAGCAATTTGTTTCTTGCTGTGGCTTTCCCACCTGATGACGGACGCTTGTGTTGCTTCCGAAACGTCGTGATTTAAATTTTTTTATATTTTATTTTATACCTACGTGACTTTACCGAAAGAACCAAAGAGTATGAATTAGTCGGCAGTTTGTAACATTTATTCTCTGCAGACGTTTCATTGGGGGATGCACCCATGGTGTAATAGTTGGCACACTTCCATTTGCAATCCAGAGGGGGCCCGTTCGATTTCCCAGCCTGGCAGTTGAAACACTGGGCAATTCTTCTTCAATACTACCATAGCTGGTCCACCCAGCAGTTTTGCTACGCTTGTCATTAGCCTCAACTGAGTCTCATGGCTCCTGGTTGCACGGCGGTGGTTCGATTCGCAAGTCACATATTTTGCGGTAATTAATGGCTAAACTCACCTCTTCCAATATGTCTGGCCCCCTGGAAAAGTCGACGAAAATATCGCTCAGAGCGGCCTTCTAGTGCTCCCTCCAGTGGAGACCCTTCTACCAGTTGTGGTATGAACAAGAACCTGCAGGGCTGTACCTTTATCTAAAAAAAAAACATGAAAATAAAGTTGTGCCTGAAAACGTCTGAAACGTGCTTCACACTTAATGCTAAATTTAGCGCCTTTTGCACATAGGCTGTGCATGTTAATGAAAGTGTAAAATTACATTTCAATTAATATCTCTTTTCGCAAGTGTGTGCTATTCTTACAACATTTCACACTTACCTGCTATGACTATTAAGTATACAAAAAAGTAATTATCCTGTGGTGCTAGACGACGCAAGTGAAACATTTATCAATGCCTTTGTTTTTTGCAGAACCATTGGTGAATGGGCATAAATTCTCGTCACTGGAAAATTCTTTTTTAATCCCTTTGATTGCCCCGCTTTCACAAGCAGGATATCAGTCGCACTGGCTTCAGCGTTCTAACAGAGCCGATCATCGCGGCTGTGATCCATCCACTAACCACCGATTCATTAAAAAAAATTGGTGACGAACAAAAAAGAGAAAAAGGTGGACTTCCTGCAAACATTTATTTCATGCCCCGCTGCTGGCGAACGGGCCTGCGCTCAAAATTAACACCTCTAGAGCCACTTGCTCCACTTGCTCCACACTGAGCGGACGCCTTGCAAGAGGTGACGGTACCCACCCTGCCCCCCACCGCACGCCACCTGCCCATCGACCCACTGATGCTGCTGGGTGGACAGAGGCGTGGGGCATTGAAGTAACTCCTCCGCATCGTCTCAACCTGCCGAGCCAACAGATAGATCGACGACCTCTGGATTGCACGTCCAGCGTGCTAAGCATTACACCTCGGCAGGCATCCCTGCGTTTGGCAATTACTTGTTACGTAATATGAAAAGAGTCTAGAATATATATTAAAGTAAATAGGAATGTACGTGTATTATGATGGTAAAGGGCAATTATGTGCATACCTTTAGCATGTTATTTTCAACATGCTATTGCCACTTATAGGAAACACATTAGCGTGCCAATAAGGCATCTCGATAGTCATTCCCATTTTTCTTGTTCCTGGTGATTGCCTAGTAAGTGTGCGATAGCCTCCAGTCTGACTCACTGGCCATTTAATTGACCGGTAATGGATAGCAAGCTAAATGAGGCCAGGTTGTTGGTTCAGTGGCTTTCAATGCGTGGTCCATATACCACCTAAATGGGTTCATAATACCCCAACATCCTGTAAAATAAATAATAAATTTACTTGAACAAAAAGATCACTTTTAGGCTGAATGTTTATTCTCTCTCTGTAATTCATTGCAAGAATCTACAGTTCCATATGCAATATTACAGTAATGGATCTTCATTCCGGCATGAATCACCCCATTGGCTGCCAAGACAAATTCATGGGGGAGACCTAGCATTGCGATGTTTGGCTCATTCGATTAATGAGTGTTTCCCACGTGGGTGCAAACTGTGCTCATAAGACCTGTGTGGAAAACCCGCACGTATGAAGGGTTGACACTTAAAGCTCCACACAGATAGATTCATGAACTTATTGTTGTACCGTCATCTCCCGGCTACCTCTGCAGCCAAAGCTTACACCACCCAGTATTGCCAGGCAGTCTGCCATCCATGTACTCACGAGGATTAACCGTCGCTTAGCTTCTGAGCCCTGACCAAATTGGGTGCACTCGGGGTGACTCGGTCGTGGGCATGTGAGCGCAGGTGGGATGGCTTTGCAGCGTGACGTGCAGAGGCGTGCGTACCGTCCACGTGATGACAAGTTCATGAGCGTGTCCACCGCCGCCGCCGATGTTACTTGGAGGTGTTCTGGGGGCTGTTGGTGAAACGTAAACAACGGCACGGCTGATATACAAATGTATACAGTCCCACGCTCGCTTAGCATGCGCCGTGCACGTCATCGTAGTGAAGAAGGCTTTGGAGAGTCGGGCTCAAGGTAAAACATAAAAAAGCGAAGTGCCTTTTTTTTGCTAACCAATCAACGGTAATCGTTGGAAGAATACAACGTGACAATTACTGGTGATGCACAGTATGAAATAAAGAGCAGAGCAAGGGCAGATCAATTTAAAGCTTTCGTGACTGCAATGATTCATATTCTTGGTTATTTCGGTAAAGTCATGTAGAAGGGAAATAATAAAATTAAAAAAATAAAAAAATTCTCACGACGTTTCGATTGCAACAAAAGCAATCATCATCAGGTGTGAAAACCCACAGCAAGAAAAAAACGCCACTTTTTTCAAATTTTCTCACTGTGGTTTTCACACCTGATCATGATTGCTTGTGTTGCAATCGAAACGTCGTGATAATTTAATTGGTTTATTTTTATTATATTATTATTTCCCTTCTACGTGACTTTACCGAAAGAACCAAGAATATGAATCCCTGCAGTCACGAAAGCTTTAAATCGAAATGTAGTGACCAATTGCCATGTTTTGTTCACGTGACAAACCTTACTAATTGCTTGCGTTGGGTGGTGGTGGGTTTAACGACGCATTTATATTTACGCAATCTAATCCCCCAAAAAAATCTCTTTTACGAATAATATTGGTCGTGAAAGCCGAGGTGTTACAGACATTAGAGACATCACGTTGACCGTTACGAAAAGTAGGTGGGCTTGAGCAGGGCATGTCTCGAAACAGGAATGATTGCTGATAGTCAGGTCTAGTGACAGGGTGGCCGCCAAAGGAGAGAACACGGCCCGTGAACGTCACCACCACGGAGATGGAGCGGCGAAGTCAGATCGTGTGCACGCAGGCGTTTACATGAACGTTGCATCATGAAACTACAAGGAATGGTGGCAACGAGAGGATACCTTCAAGCAGCTGTCGACTGATCATAACTGATGATATAAGAGACTCAAGTAATGTGCACGCTTATGGAAACTATAATAATCGAGTGGGAATGTTTTTGCTTCAAAAGTGCATTTTAGGTGCAAATCGTTACAATTGAGTTTAGCCTTCCATAAGCATTTTATTCAGATGGTCTCTGAATAATATTGTAAGTTCTGCCATGGTGCTGTTGTCAGCTATGGCAGGATATGGCATATAGATCGCTGCATTATTTCACGTGAAGTGTATTATGAAAATAAATGTTAAACAATGTCGATCGCCTTGCAACACAAAGACACTTTGACGCTGCTGATTTAACCTGCGACTCATTCTGAAAACATTCATGGGTTTTATGAACCGCATGCTCCTCCGCTGTCACGTGAGTCAGCGAGTAGAAACAAACCCCAAGTGATTCCCTGCTCAAATGAGGATTGAGGCCGTGCTCATATCGTGTTTACATCCTCTGAAGCCAATGGTATAAAATCCACTTGTAGCAGGATAAACCAGTTTTGACCCCGGATGGATGATGGGCTGAGTCAACCACCGACCAGGATTTGAACTCGCAAACCCTTCCAACTGCGAGCCGCTCACTCGACCGCTCAGTCACCGGGCTGGATAAAAAAAAATGAGTGAACCTTCAAGGCTGCATAAACATAGGCAGATACAATTGCCTTCCAGTCAATTCCAGTTATTCCTAGAAGCCGGCCCATGGAGTTAAAGTGGAAACCCCGATGCAGTTTGACACGGGGACACTTTGACCTGGTAAAGTGGCCAAGCAAGAAACCCCGACGCTGCTCAGCACTGGGATGTTGTTAAAGTGATGGAGAGGGGGGGGGCGTGACGTGCTGTACCAGATGCCAACGTCCGGACGCGCCTGGATGGCGCACTGGGGTCGCTGTCTCCCAGGAGATTGGTGGCGATTGTCTGGAATTCGTAATCCATCCAGGGCGTCAGTCCCACCACCATCACCATTTCTGAGTCGCCTGCGATGTTTTCTGGATCTGTTGAATAATGCACATCGTGTAAACTGTTAATCGCATCACAGTTTGTGGTCTTTACCAAACACACACGTGCTTAAATTTCGATTTAAAGTTTTCGTGACTGCAGGGATTCATATTCTTGGATTTTTCGGTAAAGTCACGTAGAAGGGAAATGAAAAAATAATTAAAAAAATTAAACACTTGAGGACGGCTGCTTGTGTTGTGGCCGAAGCGTCGTGAGAATTTTATTATGTTTTATTTGTATTATTTTATTATTTCCATTCTACGTGACTTTACCGAAAGATCCAACAATACACGTGCTTAACATTCAAAAGAATACATGGCTACGGGGAACCATCCTCTGGCATGATTATGAACGCGTGCCGCATTCGTATGGCAAGAGATGCATCCAGGAAGATGATTCTGCATGGCTGGTGGTGTCTTTCGTTCTCTGGGTGTTCATGTAATGCGAGAGATAAACATCTTCCGCAAGGTCATTCTAAACAACCATAGAGATGTACATATATATTTCTAAACAACCATAGAGATGTACATTTTTATTTTCAAAGGAAGCTAATGGAAGACGATGTACTGTCCAGATCGAATGATGCACCTCCAAACTTTTGCTTTCAAATACACGGGGGGGGGAGAGGGAGGCGAAGGGGGGGGGGGTCTAAGTGTTGGCTTATAATATGGAGAATAATGTATGGAATTTTTTATTCTCTATATACATACTGTGAGGCTCCCAGTGAGCCATTTCCTATTAAGTTTGTCATAGTGCTGCTTGGCACACGGAGTTCTGTCCCAGATTTTTTTTATTTTTCAAGCTGTGCAAAGACTCATTGTCCTCTAAGTGCTCAACGCGAAGAACTTACCGCACGTGTCCCTAATTTAGAGATGCTGTGTCTAGACTTGTCTCCTTCTATTAGACATTGCAGGGCCGAATTTTTCAGATGCACTCAGAAAACTGGACCGATTGATGTGAGAAACCATATCATTTTCTGCAAATTGTATATTTCAGAAGCTGTGATATCTCATTATGATTTTTTTTAATAGTTGGCAACATATATACGTATTTATCCACGTGCCTGCTGCTTTAAATATAATTAGACATCAACGATTGATCTGATGTCATAACATTTTATACGATGGCACCTATACAAAATCTATATTCGGGATTAAGATGGATAACAGTAGATTTTGTTTTATTACCATAACCAATTTCTGCAAAACAACAAATCAGTATGCTTACAACACGATACGTTTACGATGTGTCAATTCTCAGGATTGATGCAGAGGCAAGGCATGAATGAACACGCTACAAAACCCTTAGCCAATTCAATTACAGCATTGCCATGCATCACGCATTACATTCCCACTGCAGTTCAACATATGATGTGATCAGATCTGTTGCATAAAGTTTAGCCGCTGCAGCCTCAACGTATGATTGCATTCTCAACACACGATCACATCCGACCATCAATGCCAACTTAGAACACATATCCTGTACGCGTGTCTTCAAAGGTAACTGTTCCATGACCCGAGTGAAAGGAATTATTCATTTTCTCAAGAGGTGGCAGGCAGCCCAGTCACTCTGCCGGAGTGATCTTTACCACAGGGGTCTCGTGTGGCCCCAAGAAAAATAAATGGTTGCGTGACATGAACATTTTGACAGCGACATTCTCTCACCCGTCTTGACGTCTTGCCAATCAGCAGTAAAGGGCGTTCGGCCTCGCACTTTATAGGCAGTGATGGGGCTGTGGTTGTTTAGCCCGGGGCTCCAGGACAGCACCACAGTTGTGTCGGTCACATCGTCAGCAAGCACCCCTTCTGGAGGGCCTGGAGGACCTGTTTGGCAAAGCGGGTTTTGTTTTTTGGTAAAAAGGACACTTGCGTAATACTCCACATTCACCGATGCGGTGTTAAGAGTTGGCGCGTAGACATTCGCTGGGTCTTTTCCGTGATGCCCGCCATTCTGGCAGCGGTGCGTTAGACCTCAAATTCAACGCACTGCAGTCAATAAGACTGCCCTAAAAAAAACAAATGGGCGATGTTTCGTGCCATGGCGCGTCTTCGTAGCAGATGAAGAAGCGCCATTACTATGAAGAAGGGCCGTTCCATGAAAGGTCGACAGAGGAAGGGGGGGGGGGGGTTATTGACGTTTACTGCCCTGTCGAGGCAAGTCAAAGCGGATCGCAATTCAAACGAGTACCGAGCGGGACATGAATCTCCGTTGTCACCCATAAACCGTCGATAAAAAACATTCCACATTACCATGCTGGGAGCTGTTCTCTCCATAGGGGAACGTCTGTTTATTAGCCATAAAGTAGTGCTCATAATGATAACAATATTAATGTAGCGAAAGTGTTTGTTGTGTGCATGAAGGAAAGCTCTGGTGAGCTTCAATGCTCGTTCCTGCTTTGATATGAATTCATATTTCCTTTATTGGGCATTGGTGTTTCATATTATTTTGCCGGGTGTAACATTCTGCCGCCGCTGTCATCTGCTGGCCGAGTTTCCCTTGAAAATATCTGAAAAGCTCAATCGACTCGGGAAACATAATTTCCCACTGACTACTGATATCCAAACCCGACTGCCGCTTGACTGCACGGAGAAAATTCGTGCACACGAGGGTAGACAACTGAATTTCCATGAAATCATAAAAACAGAGACCCACGCTTTCCACTGCATCACGTGGGCAACCACCTCAACGGACACATTTTTGGGATTCTAACCCTGAGATGTTATCTCCCTCGCCCGGTATGCAAGAGGTTGTAGGTTTGATCCTGACGCCTGCATATTTGGAGTTTGCCTGTTCTCCCCGTGGTCACGTGAATTTTTATCCGGATGCTCCGGTTTTTTCCTTCCACATTTACAATAAATGTGCGTTTAGAGTATGTGGCTGCTATAGATGTCCACATGATAAGCCACTTTGTCCAGCTGTCATTTGTGGCCTGACGCTTCTGAAAAATAGCTGTATAGCCTTACTTGCTAAGAAGAAAATTGTTGTTCATCGTTTAAACTTTCTCTGATCCACCAACCTTGTCCTCAAGCTGATTGATTATAGGCTTTGCCCATCACCGTATTCTGTTGGTGGCATTCGGATGCCTCACCATGAGGGATCGCTGCATTTGATTATGGGTGTGCTCTGGGAGCAGCTAGAATATCTTAAAATATCGGCAGGTTGGATTCGATCGCTTCTCGGATACTGCTGGGAATTGGGTCACACCGTTCGAACCGGCGGTCGGTTGTGCTGCTGTAAGATATCTTGGAATATCAATGCACTGCAGTCAATCGTGGATGTTGTCTGTTCAGATGTCTTGGATAATACACGGCCATTGGCTTGCCGTATTTACAGGATATATAAGTGGACTGGAACTTGTGTGAAGTGCGGCTAACCAATGTTGGAACAAACACCAATTACCCCAATGAGCACTCCAGAAGTTTAAAAGTAATCGTTAAAATGTATTTTCTCATAGAGAGTACTTTTTCATTGCAATACATTTATCTGAATACAGGGATGCCGCCATGCTGCAATGGTTAGCAAACGAGAGGTCACCAATCTTGATTTGAAGCTTTCGTGACTGCAGGAATCCATACTCTTTGGTCCTTTCGGCAAAGTCACGTAGGTAGAAAATAAAATAAATCACGACGTTTCGGGCAACACAACACAAGCGTCCATCATCACACGCAAAGCATGCTGTCCCACCTGATGATGGATGCTTGTGTTGCCCCCGAAACGTCGTGATTTATTTTATTTTAAACCTACGGTCACCAGTTCGACCTCTCGGTGCGGCAGTTTAAATGATGATGAAGCTATTTTAAATCCCCCGACCTCTAGCTAGCGGTGTGATTGGCTACACCGGTGTCAGTCGACTGGTGGGTCGCTTGTGGTGGCGTAAAATGTGAGTACACCCATCCTCTTACAAGGCGCATTGAGACATTAGTGGAAGGCGCCTGACAAATAAATGCAAAATTATAATTATTGTTATTATTGTTATTGTTTTCCAAGTTGCCTGGCCAGCGCGAAAGAGTTGGCTAAAATACCCTCTAGAGTGGACCTCTAAGTGGCATAAGCAATCAATTGTAGTGCTGGACCTTATATTTATATATATTTATGTTAATATTATTCAAAAGTTTATTATATTTTTTCGTAAAAATAATTATTCTTTTTTTGTACCAGTTAGGGTCTTTCCGACTCATGGATTCACATGAAGGAAAGTGTTGTGCGAAAATAAATAGCTCTCTATTGATTAGTGGACTGATGAAACTTTTCAAATTTTCTTGCTGTGGTTTTCACACCTGATGATGATTACTTGTGTTGCAATCGAAACGTCGTGAGAATTTAATAGTTTTTTATTTTATTTTATTATTTCCCTTCTACGTGACTTCACCTAAAAAACCAAGAATATGAATCCCTGCAGTCACGAAAGCTTTAAATCAAAATTTAAATTAACCTGCTTTAAAAATAAAAATCGTAACACCAAACTTCTTGACATCGCCACTTACGTGGCTGGTGGCGACAATTCATTACGTGGGCGATACTCTGAACGGCCCGCGTTTGCCAGAGCCGTGCCTCGAATGTTGAATCCACTTATCCCCATCGTGGCATCGCGCGTTCCTCTCGCTCGCATCTGTGCTCCGGTGCATTAGGACATCGCTGCACCCCGACCGCTCGATGTGCCGAACGCGTGTCCCTCACGTGCGGTTAGGCCTTTGGGCTTTAAGGGTTTCAAGTTTGGGACCATAGATTGGGGCTCACCAAGCAATCACATTCATTATACAGCACACACACACACGCGCGCACGTGTTTGTGTTTATGTTTGCTGCTTTTGGTAAGCGAACTGCATAATGGTTACTCCACACATCTCTATCCCTTGCAGTAACCCCGGTAACTAACCAAGTGGCTCAGCGCGAGAATGAGTGGGTCACAATCATAAGGTTGTGAATTCAATTCCTGGGTGTGTGTTGACTGGGCTCATCATCCCTCTGGGGTCGATAAAATAGGTATCACTTCTTGAGGAACTCAAGAGTGGTTGTCCTATGGATGGTCTCACCCTGCCAGAATTTTTTTTTTGTCATTTACACCACTGGATCAGGGCTGTAAACAGGAAATGGGTATTACGTCCATGATCGTTTGAGCAAGAAATCACTTTGACTTTTTGACTAGTAGCCACAAGAACCAACGATAAAAAAACTAACTTTTAAATTGACTATATAACCTTTGAGGTTTGAATGCAACTGTAGAAATGGGTTGATCAAATTGAACGATCTTACTATCCTTACGTAGCAACCTGTCACAGGCTAGACCCACCTATTAGCCTTCGCGTTACACTCCACAGGTTACAAATGACTTGGTTTTCCTGAAAATGGGAATCATGAGACTTTCAGAACTCTAGGCTGACCCTGCCCTATAAGTAAAATCAATCAGCCTCCAGGCTATAATTTTGGAGGCCCAAATATAAGCTTTCTAGCCTTTCTAAAAGATCATTATAATTTACGTGTCACTCAGTTATAATTGTATGTAAATTAGACATGCATTATGTTTTTTTTTTGGTCAGCATTGTCCTGCTCATGTTAAGTTAAACTACAAACTCTGCTTCTAATTGATCTATTTGTTTATCTCTTCCTTCTGTTGCACTCATTAAGCAAGCGAAACAGAAATGTACATCGAATATGTTAATTGAGTAAAATAAAAACTCAATATTAAATCAATGGTCCACGTTAAAATTATATTACGCTGAACATATTAGTTAAAATGTCCTCAGTGATGCAGTGACTTAAATGAACATATATTATTTCCTCTGTACAGCATGCAAATGATTCAGCGAGTCACCACAATTAACACACACATATATAAAACATACGTATTTTAAGTGTAGTTGTTTACAAACTCAATTAACTCTAAAAAGTAATTGATCAACATTTACATCTGACATTTATACGATCATAAAACAATGTTGGCAACCGGATGATTGACAATGGCAATACATCGTGACTTGACCAAACTGGAACTACAGTAATGAAATTAGTTTATGACAGCAATTAAATCGAGGCGAAGATTATGTTGACTTCACCAGATGGAGACTACAGCTGAACACAAATGCGTGTTAGAATTGAATGTTTAATTGATGCAATCGTTCGTTTTGTTTTCTGTCACGATACTGCATTGCTAAATCACGTCGCTTCTTGCGGGTGAATTTCGATTTAAAGCTTTCGTGACTGCAGGGATTCATCTTCTTGGTTCTTTCGGTAAAGTCACGTAGAAGGGAAGTAATAAAATAATAAAAATAAAACAATAAAATTCTCACGACGTTTCGATTGCAACACAAGCAATCATCATCAGGTGTGAAAAACCACAGCAAGAAAAAAACGCCACTTTTTTCAAATAATTCTCACGACGTTTCGGCCACAACGCAAGCAGCCGTCCTCAGGTGAAGACCAGGTCTGTCGGGGCGACAGCCTCGACAGACCTGGTCGTGAGAATTATTTTATTATGTTTTATTTTTATTATTTTATTACTTCCCTTCTACGTGACTTTACCGGAAGAACCAAGAAGATTCTTGCGGGTGGTTTCTATCCTTTGTTTTACTGGTTAGTGGAACAAGTGATGGCATTGCCAATAGTTCAATGCGACTAGCATGATCGTAGCTAAATTGGGAAACTGTGTATACAATGTACATGAGGAATGATCATGCATGTGTGTGCAGTGCCAATGGTAATGTGCGAGGCGTATTGGGTCTGTAAGGAAATTGAAGCGTTTGCCAACATGAACCGAGCTAGACTGTGCAAAATATGTTTATTGTGTGGAACATCTGATTTAACTTTCTTGAAACGTGTGCGTGTGT